ACGCTCTTCATTTGTCGCCGAAAAAATTGTTGCTGATGATACAAGGGAAGACGGATCAAACACCTTACCCGTACACCTCACCATTGGTGCAAAGTGTTAGGTGCAGGATGTCCAAAACCTCTCCGGAGCTGCTAAGGGAAGCAGCTAATTTGATTGAAGAAGCTCTGAGGAGAACTCCACCGGCAGCACAGGTACAGCAGATACCTGTCGCTACCATAGACTGTAAATATTACTGGACGAACCCTGACCCGTCTGTTACATGGCCAGAAAATGAGTCCAATCGACGGCCGCATCCATATTGGATTTGCAGTCTCAACCTAACTTCGGATCAACCTAGCAACAGCAGTAAGGCGGGACCGGCGGGACTTAACTCCGCCCATTCAGCTCGACGTTAGCGGTCCACTTCACAGCATAGCTAACGGCTAGGCTGCTATCATCCCCTATTCCTGCTCGTCCTGAGAAAACTCTATAAACAGTAAGTTAACACTTAACTTTTCTACAACACAGTTAAAACAAATTATATTCAACCCAAATATTTAATTAAAGTCTTAAAACTACACTTTTTTAAATATACAACTATGGTTATTAGTTATTTGTCAGAGCAGTTAGACTTTGTCAGTGTTAGCAGAGAAATACATTAACAAAGTTTTATCCATAAACTGTAAATAAATATGAGACATCCAGAAGAAATCAATATTACAAAGCATACAGTTCATGTTACTGTTCTGACAAAAAGAGGAATGTCTGTCTTATATTTACTGATGTCAACAGCAATGTGGGTAAACATGACAGTTGAAAAATAATGATTTAGTATTTATTATAAGACATTTGTTTTCTATAGAATCCTGTGAAGTCATGGAGGAAGAAACCTGAGCTTCAACAACATCTACATTTGTTGGTTCTTCTGGGGTGGACTTCAGTTGTTTCTCTTCAACAGCTCGCTGTGAGGGAGGTCTCCCCCGGATGGCCTGAGTGATGTCACCCACAGGCTGAGAGCTGGAGCTGAGACGGGTTTTAAACCTCTTGACAAACCATTACACCGCACCCGCCTGTCAAGCTGGTCAGCTACACGCCTTATTGTGAATAACTCTTATCCTTCATGAAATCAAAACTGATGAGTCATCAAAACATTCACCCCCCTGTACAGTGTGTGTCCATCGAGACATGAACTAATCACACCTATTTGTTTGTTTTGTACCAAGCTGTAAACATGTTCATCTCTTCTGTAAAAACAGACTTTTTTTAATGTTGTTTTTCAGAATAAATAAATATTTCTATATAAATGCACTCCTTTATGTCTACTTATGAGTATACATTTCAGATTTGAAATGACAAGACTAAAATGTGCATTAGTGCTCAACTCAATAGCTTAGGGAAGGAAGTCTACTTTTACACAACTTCTTATTCTTTTGATAAATACTAATGTAGTTCATTTCTGAAAGTGGGATGGAACAGAGTCATTGCAAAAATATGCCCTTAAACACAGCCCCATTCTTAAATCAAGATACATGGAGAGTAAATAAGATCAATAACTTGTGAATAAAAACACAGTTAAAAATGATTTAGAAATGTAGTCTTCCCAGATCAATATCACATAATATCAACTTCTCCCATCTAAAAAGAAAATAGTTTGATTGCAAGTTGTTTGGAGGAGATCTAGTTTTATTTGAACAGCTGAAGCATGAATACAGTCTTCCAAAGTGCAAACCCTCCTCCTTCTTCTGAAGCTTGTGGAGCTCGTTGATGTACTGCTGTCTTATCTGTTGGCCATCTTCTCTCAGCAGAACTTTGACTGTTGAAAAGTCATTCTGAAGAAGCTCGAGCATGTGACATGGATCCAGGAGAACATGGACTTTTAGTGAGGGGTCTTCAGGATGACAAAGAAAGAGAGAAAATATCAGTTATTCATTAAATCATTTTTTTTGTTCTCATCTATTTTTCTGTATTCATCTGTGTGTAAGAGCACATTTATAAATTCAACAGTGTACTACCCAGACAACAAAGGTACAGTATTCAGGTAATCAACATCTATTCAAAGTTAAGAAGATAAACCTTATTGTAATCATGCTATTTTCAACTCTCTCACTCACTTGCACAATGATATTCCACATCAAATTGTCTCAGATTTTGTGAGGAAAAATTAAGCAGTTTATTGTGGATAGCACTTCATCTTAACATGAAACAAATATAACCTGAATTATTTCAATCATTAACAGGTCCCAACTCTCTGTGCTTTAGTACAGAACATACAGTAACTCATTTATTATTAACATGAGCTCAGTACATGGCTGTATTCTTCAAACTATTTCTTATACTTTATATCTATGTGCTTTATATCTTATTTTCATTCCATATGTTATTTATATTTTATATTTCTACAGCTATATTCTGTGTATGAGTTCAGTAAAAATTAATATGGTTATTAATATAGTTCTTAATGGTTACAGATGCTCTTACAAAGTGATTTTCTTTTAAATTTGTTAACAGTTTGCTCAAATCTTAAGACACTACATCAACCATGTAACTTTAATGTCATCCTCTATAACCTACACAGCATATTAGGTTCAGTTGAGTTCAGTTTATGTTACTGACGGATAATTACTACACAAAGTTAGTTTTTAATGTCCACATTTACGTGGAGTATAACATTCATCATAACGTCAGATAACCACCGAGCTGAACCTTTAGCTTCTAACGTCACACAAACTCATTATTTTCAACAACAACATCTTAACAACAAACATTTCTAAACCATTGACCGTTAATAATGGGCTACACAGTTAGCCGACTGGTTTACAAGCTAATGCTAAACAAGCTAGGTCCATAAATATAAACACGAGTAAGCAGTAAATATAACACTACTATATCACTTACCGAAGAAAACTGAAGTATCAACTTCTTGGATGGTCTGTTAACCGCACAGCAAGCCATGTATGTTGTCAGATATGTGTTAAACAAACTCTCCAAACGAAGTAAGAAAGAGGAGAAATCAAACGGATCAAGCTGTTAGCCTCCTGACCTGCTGACCTGACAGACAGATGAAGCGCGCAGAGCTGTCAATCAAATCTGCCACAACCCTTATATGGGCATAGTCATTTTCCTTAATAGAATAAAATCCGATGAGTTATAAAAAAATTCCCCCCCACCCCCACAGTGTGAGGCGTGAGGAGAAGGGGCCGTCAACTTATCAGATATATCTCGTTTTTTGAACCAGGCTGTAAACATGTTAATTCTGGGGTAAAAACGGGCTTTTTTGGCTGTGGGCTTATGGCACTTCCGACGCTTCTGCAGCCAGCCTCAAGCGGAACCTCGAGGAACTGCAGTTTTTTGTACTTCCACATAGGCTTCATTTTTCGAGACCGGAGGTTGCCCCTTGGTCGCTACACCACGTACACCTGTTCAAGATAGGTAAGGATAGTCAGATGTGCTTCTAAACGAAGCTAGCTAGTCGGCAGAATGGTGTTAGCATGTCAGCAGCCCTTAAGTTGGAGTATTATTAGTTATTTCTTTTCAGTTGTTGTTTGCTTTCTGTATTACATTTATCAGTGACATTCGTTGAAATTACTCTAAGCAGGGACTTAAGGATGTTTTAGCTGAGTGGTGATCATGGGAGCTGTAACGTTTTCTCTGTGTTTCAGCCGAAGTAGCAAGGCTCTTTGCTTCGTACAACAACAGCGGCAGCGGTGCCAGGAGATGGCCAGCACTGAGCCAAGTCATCCGAAGAAGCTACACACACACTTTCTGTTGTTTGGCTGACAACAAGGCTGATAAAGTTCCAAGCATTCAGCTTAAAGTAGACCTTCTTGTTTCAGGACTTGGAGAACAAAGGGTGATCTTTTCAGGTGGGTCTGAAACAAGAAATTTGGCAAAACACTGAGTCCTGACATTAGTAGGAGTTGTATTTTTAATTTCATTTTATTGCCATTTGTGTTCACCTATTTTACATATTAGACTCATACTTTAATTACGTGATTTTCTTGGTGTGTATTTGTTATAACAGCTTAGCTTTTGGTGTTTGAGTTAATGTGCATTATGTATATTTACAGGAAATGACAACGATCCCATGGTTGTAACAAATAAGCTGATGGAGGTGTTTCCAAAGCTGCAAGAAGGGGGAGGCTTTGAGTTTCTAAAAATTGCAGGATCTACTCGCAGTCGAAATCTTGGACTTCTTCAATGTCCCAGCACAGGATACACCCTTGCCTATCTAAAAGATCCATCTACAACAATTGGACAGGCTACAATTTACATACGCCCACTTCAACAGGACCTACCTATTGATTCAGTATGGAAATTTACACTGTCACCATTTGATACATGGTTAAAATAAATTGCACTGTGGAGTTTTAATCAATACTTAACAGATTTGTTGTTCTTAGGAAAGCTAGGGACATGCCTCTGGTCCATCCATCTCATGTATCACTTGTCAGAAGGAGGTTCCCTTCTCTGAAATGAAACTGCACCGAGCTAACTGTGATGGGTATGCACTTGTTAAAGATATATAAGAATTACATGTTCATTTTTCAATAAGAAATTTTTTTTTAGTTTTTGTGCACACAGATGAGAGGAAATGACTATAAAATTTTCTGAACTTCAAGGACCCCCATGCAGGAAACACATAGAGAAGGAGAGGGAGACCATGGTGAGGAAAATGATAGAGAGCCACCCACTGACAGGGACAGCATTCCAGTTAGGCCTAAAACATCTGTAGAGAGTGAAGTACAACCAGTAGTGATTGAAAGTGAGAAGATTGATCTTAAAGAACTTGACAATGGTTTGTGTCATCACAGTAGGAATGCTATAACATTGTGCATATTTAGAACTCGGTCAATAGAAGAATAACACCTTTTAACCATAATAAATAACGACTATAAGACATGCCATTATCACTGCTGTTTTATAGAACCTTAGAAACACTTCCTCATACAGTTCAACAGAACACATTGACACAGACTCCACATCTAAGTGAAGCTTGGTTGACTTAAAACAGCAAATAAGTTGGACAGGGAACGGGCACTTCTCTCATTCTATAAACAGCAACAGGAATGGGCATGTCCACTTCATTGTACCCTTGATGGTTAGTAGAATAGAGTTCATAATATAAATATATCCTGTTACATTAATATCAATTATATGTCTTGTATGGAATGGTATTAGTGGTTTACTGGTCCCATCAGGTAATTTGGCTGATATTAATCATTATACAGTATGATAATCTGCATTGGCTGTTTATGCTGTATGCATAACAGTTAATGTGTTTGTCCTTCCTTCCTTTTTTTTTTTTTTTTTTAGGTGATGCTGTTGTTGGACAGGGAGTGATGCGGTACTTTCTGACAACAACAATATCCAAACTCCAGTTTGGATTCAGAATGAATCTTGGTAAATGTGCTACTATTCAGGTTAATGTCATGCATTTTAAAAGTTAATTGTTTGATTTTAACCCCTGCTCTGTTGGTACTTACAGGAGGAGTGGGCCAAACTCTGCTATTTGAAGGTGAACCTGACCATCTCGTTCCAGCTGCATCAGAGGTGCTTATTGAGAGCAACCTCTTCCGGGTTACAGGAAGGATGATAGCCCACTCCTTTTTGCATGATGGCCCCCATGTCACCGGATTAAGTCCTGCTGTTATTCATGTACTGTTCAATGGGGACCCTGAAATGGCAACAATTGTTGTCGAGGACTGTCCTGATCTGCACATCAGGAGTATTATAACAATGGTTTGTAACACAGAAACAAAAAAACCTTTGCCTTGCAAAATTCCTGGACAGGTGTAATACCTTGTATGATCTAAATTCTAGCTTGAACTTGAAGAACTTACTCAGGAACAGAAGGACACAGTGTCAGACCTGTCCCTGTCTTGGGATCTCCCAGCAGTCACTAAAACGAATCAGAGGTGGCTACATAACAAACTTCTAGTACACGCGGTGAGTTTCTCCTGCTGATTTTGTGAATTTTCCTTCTGAAATTGAACTCATCCCCCATTTATCCATCAATTATGTTTCAAGCTAAGCAATTCTATCACGTCTGCATTTCTTTTGCACATCTGTATTTCAGTCACAAACTAATTGGAACTGCAGGCAGGATTATTACAGAACCTAAACACTCTTTAACTTGTAATCTGGGCAGGGAGTGGTTTGGTGTTGCAATATGAAAGGATATAATTGGGGAAAAATACATCTTAAGCACTGCATTAGAGTTTTATAAACACTTTCTACTGTGCTGACTTTTGTAGAATTTTAATATTTGGTCAGTAATATGGGTTTGGCCTTTCTTGTAGGTCATCGGGAGGACCATGCGCCAAATTAAACAGTTGAGAAAGGGATTGAAAGATGTGACTCTATGGCCCCTGCTGACATCTAGGCCGGATGTTGTCCCACTTCTTTTTCCGAAAATGGCAGGAATGCAGTTTGTACCCCAGGTGATTTAGTACATCCAACTTATTAACAATACTTTAAATATTAATAAATGTGTGTGCGAATCTTATTGTCTAATTTACTTAGCTGGATATTTTCTCAATTACCAAGACTGTAATCTATATTCCTTTTCATCAGTGCTGAATTATAAATTATCCTAGACACCAAAATACTTTTTAAACTTTTTTTTTTTTCAGATGTTCCTAGACAAAATCACATGGCCTGTGGAGGACAGTGATGATGATGAAGAACTTGACATTGAGTGCCACTGCCGCATCACTGGTTTTCTACGGATGTTCATTGAAACAGGTATAGCTATCTTATTTTGCAATTGTATGTTTACCAATGTCTCTATGTCCCATAAACATCTCACTTAACACTGTAGAATATATGAAATGCATAGGGATTTGAACAGTAACAGTGCACTAACTGTGTTCTTAATCCACTTTATGACTTTTTAGCTTCATCAGATACACTGGCCCAGTTGCTGAAATTCTGGGTCGGCTGGGAAATGCTCCCTCCAGAACTCAAAGTGGAGTTTTCCGGGGGAACCTTCCCATCATCCTCCACATGCTTTGAAACACTGAAGCTGCCAGCTCATTACAACACCTACAAAGACTTTGAGGAAGCACTTGTTGCTGCCATAGCACACACACACTGGATTTGGTCTTGTTGAAGTATTTTCAAGCAATGATGTTGCTATGCTTTTATTCAGTAGAAAAGGTAAATTTGAGTGAAGTGAGTTCAGTGTCTTTCTAACATTTAAAATACAGTGCAGTATTTTCTTTCCCTGAAAATGATACTGCTTTGTTGTTGCTCTTCTGTCAATTGCTTGATACTTCAATGTGCATCACCTTGCTGTCCTTGCCTGTTGTCATTGGCTACATGAGGTTGTTGAAATATCTCTTAATGCTAGAAAAATTGGTTTTATTTGCATTAAAATTTATATTATTATTTCAGATTTTTATTGACAAATCAAGTTAACTAATTCATGAGTCACATTTGCACATGCTAAATAAATAAAATAAAAGGCTTGGTTAAAATATCAGTCTCCAATGATTCTTGACAAAACTTGCACTGTCTCCAAATATGATCCAATTGCATCATTTTAAGAAACTCCTGAAACTGGCAAAATGGCAACCTCTTCATCTGAGAGCTCACGGGCCATCTGAATCTCAGGAACTGACACAGTGTCTCCATGCTGATTGTGAGGCCCATTCCAGTCGATCCCATCGTCTTCATAAACCTGAACAGAAGATAACATTGATTGACATATTGTTTAAACTACTATGACATGTCATCACACAAGATTCATGGGATTGATCATTGGTCCTTACGTTGGTGACAAATTAAGTTTTAGGCACCATAAGAGACTTTGCTGCTCAGATGTTGTTCTGTCAGAGCTCAGGAGACAGAAGAGATTCTCTCATGTTTCGTTCAAAAACAAGAACGAAGTGATAACAGAAACCCTTTTATTAAAATATAGTGGGTCCAATTATCACTTCTTCTAAGTTTGCGAACACTCTTCGGTCAATATCTTGGTCAGAGAGACCGGAAATAACTCCAAGAACTTCAATAAATCCCTCTGCTTTGCTAGCCACATGTTCAGGGTCCGAAATTCCAGCGTCAACATTCTCTGCCAAGACTAAAATATCTGTTATCAACTCACGGGAGAGCTCATGCAGATCCTCTGTGATTGCGCCCATGTTTGTTTGTTTGTTTGGCGGGAAACCGCTTAGTCTGGCAACCCTGCAGACCAAAGCAATGGTTTGTGACTCGATCAGCGTTAATCCCGCACAGTTTGATGGGAGAGGATGACAGATAAAATTATTTCTGCTGGAGCAGTGCGTCCTTTTTGAATTAATTAAATAAATAGTGGAATAAATAGATTTGTTTTTACATAGAATGAATGAACATTTTAAATAATTATTTAAACATTTCCTTAATTATTTATGTATTTCATAAATTATTTGTTTATTTATTTATATATTACCAATTTGAAATAATTAATGACACATTTAAATAATTATTTAATTATTTAATAACACGTGCATTTAATTCATTAAATAATTATATATTTATTTATATATTTATTGATTTATTTCCAATATTAAATAATTGATGACACATTTAATTTAATTAATTCTAATTAATTTGATTGATTTAATTAATTATATATTTATATATTTTATTTTGGCACTTTTAGTCCTCCATAAAAATTTGTGAGTGCTACTTCTTGGGAGCCATAACTGAATAATGGCGAGTCTTCGGCCGAGAAATGAACCACCCAAAGTTGCCCGTGGTAGGCCGCTGCAATCCTCAGGGTCCCCGGCGAAGCCAGATGCTAATGAGAATATACTACGCTGCATTAAGGACATGATGGACGATCTCCGGACGGAAATTAAGTTTCATGTGCCCTGAAACCGTTGGAAGAAAAAGTTGACGCACAAAAAGAGACTATTTCAGACCTAGAGCAGTAGTTGCAAAGATTTAGAAGCCCGCTCTAGGCGGAATAATATTCGACTTGTGGGCCTGCCCGAAGAATCCGAGGGACCCAACCCCACAGAGTTGGTGGCCAAACTTTTGAAAGACTTGTTGAATCTCGAAGCTGAGCCTGAGCTGGACAGAGCCCAAAAAGGGTGCGTGCTATCTTACCGCTTAACAAACCAAAACCTGTCGTTACTTGTAACTTACCCGTACTCTTAGACGGCTTTGGAGAACGTATGAATGAACTGTTCTATAATATCAATTACAAAAATAGTGAAAATAAACATTCTCTGCGTAAGAAAATAAAGTGTCATCATTCAAAAGCAGTGCTACACTACTGGGAGCACATAGTGCAGTCCTTAACTAGGCAGGAAGACCTTATAGATAATAACAGAATATAACAAACAAAACTGGAAGGCACAGAAAAGGTGCGTGGTCATACTTGACCGGAGTCTGTAAACTCAAAACAGCAGCATCACTTTGCTCCCTGATGCCGGTCTCAGCCTCCATCCAAGTCTCTTATTTACGAATTCCAATGCCTGGTCCGGGTCCTCAAACCTATGGGTTGGGCCGTTGGGTATGGTGATGTGTAGTGTAGCCGGGTACCGGAGACCAAACCTCACGTTAGCACATGAATGTAGCTCCCTCTTTACCTTGACGAACGCCGCCCTCTGCCTGGCCACAGTAGGGGTGAAATCCTGGAACATATAGACCCTTTTCCCGTTGTGCAGCAGGGGTGAAGCCTCCCCAGCCCAACGCAGGATGATGTTTCTGACCGGATGCTTCTGCTAGGAGAGAGAAGGGAGGGGTGGGGGACTTGGGGATTGTCTGTTTGTTTAAGTTCTTTCAATGGGGGGGATGGCACATATCTCTTTTTGTATACATATATGTTCTTTGGTCTATTTTATCTACTTATTTTCTTAATCACACTAGGTATTCTTCTTTATTATAGTATCATTAAGCTCTTGCCGTGTTATGGCCCAGCCTAATAATACACCGCCTAATGTAGGTGGGGATATTAAATTTGTTAGTTTAAATTGCAAAGGCCTGAACAATCCGATAAAACGAAGTAAGGTTTTACATTATCTACATCATCTTAACGCTCATGTAATTTATCTGCAGGAAACCCATTTAAAAAATACAGATAGTCTTAGATTAAAACGAAGTTGGGTTGGTCAGATATTTCTCTCCTCTTTCTCTAGTAAAGCAAGAGGTGTGGCGATACTTTCACATAAAACTATTCCTTTTGTTCATATTAAAACAATGTCTGATCCCACAGGCAGGTTCATTATTGTCATTGGCCATATTTATGAGGTCAAGGTAGTCCTTGCGAATATACAGTATATGCGCCTAACTGGGATGATGAAGCCTTCTTTAAACGGGTATTTTCAATGTTGCCAGATTTGTTACAACATAACTTAATTTTGGGTGGAGATTTTAATTGCTGGTTGAACCCTTCATTAGACCGCTCCTCCTCAACCTTAGTGCCACAATCTAAATCTGCCAAAGTGATTGAAGCTTTCATGGAGGAGTTCAATGTTATTGATCCATGGCGTTATTTTAACTCAGGCAAAAGGGAATACTCTTCTTTTTCTCATGTACACCGGACTTTTACACGTATTGATTTCTTTTTGGTAGACAGCTCACTGCTTACTGCAGTTTCTGGCTGTAAATATGATCCAATAATTGTGTCAGATCACGCATCAGTCTCCACAAATATATACTTTCAGAAATTCACAAGCACACGGCCACGTGTGGCGCCTTAACACACAACTTCTCTTGGATAAAGATTTTGTCGAAGCGCGTGGATTTTTTCTTTCAAATTAATAAAACCCCAGATATTTCAGTTTCTGTGTTATGGGAATCGATGAAGGCCTTTATGAGGTACACCAAAAGAGATCTATGAGATTGAAATTGGCCGAACTGTCCCTGCGTATAGCAGCAT